GTGCCCACCCCGCAGTGTGTCCCGAGGGCCGCCGGCCCTGGCGGGGAGGCCAGCGGTCCTTGCCGAGGACCCCACACGCCCACAGGGGCTCACGGTCAGCCTCCCGGCGCTCAAGGAAAACCGTGCGGAGCTTGAGTCCTGCGGGGATGCCGGGAGGATGGGCGTGCGCCCCTCCCTCCTCCTCCGTGTGACAGCAAGCAACCCAGACCCGGTCTGAATCTCCACGGAGCCACTCCGGCCGTGAGGTCGCCGGTGATGGTGGAGACGCGATCGCCGCGCCCGGGGGATGCGCCCTGGTGAGCTGACTTGACCCTCGGAGCCGCGGCTGCAGGTCCATTGCTGTTGTCGCTCACGCCCTCCCGGGGGCATCGGACCCCCACGCACGGCTCCCGGGGCGTGAGCCCAGACGTCGGGCTCCCAGCCCTGGTGCCTACCCTGGGGGCAGGCGGGGACCGCGGTCTGGGCGGTCGTGCGCTTCCGGCGATGGCGCGTGCCCGCGTTCAGTCCGCTGCCGCTGTGGAGATGGCATCCCGCTGATGCCTGGCACTGTTGCAAGCGTGTGGACGCGTCACAGGCGGTGTGTCGTGCTCGGTTGTGTGAAGGAAAGCGGGATGGGTGTCTGGGGACGGGAGAATGTTTGGAAGGACTCCCAGCGAAGTGTGCATGACGTCATGTCTGGTGACGGGTTGCGGTCAGTTTCTCTTCTTTCTGCCTTTTGCAGAGTTTGCACAGCAAACGTGGGTTGTTACTCTTGTTTGAAATAAAAGTCTCCAATATGCTGTGGCATTTGTTAACAAAGGTGAGCGGGAGCTCCCAGGCGGGCAGGGATCCTCGGACGAGTGCGGGCTGCGTGCACCTCCGCCCCTGCAGGTTGTTTGCTCTCTGTCTCCGTTTGTCATTTGTCGTTTAATTCTGGGTGGTGTGGTGGAGTTTTGGGACAGACAGACATTTTCTCTACTGCCTTGCTTTTTGGGATTAGAAAGGTCTTTCCGTTCCAAGAGAATAGGACTGTTGCAGTGGCAACTTCCCCTTTGTTTCTGGGGAGAATAATCAGCCCCGTGAAACCCACACCTCCTGCCCGGAGCCGGCTTCCGGGGGGCTGCGTGCGGGAAACAGCCCTCGAGGGTCAGTCTCTCTGGCCTTCAGTCTGGGGCTCAGCCTCAGAAGAGCGCTTGGCCTTGCCAGGTGCACGCGGCCCTGGAGCTCATATCTGTGCTGGAAGCTTCTGTGTGGATTGCGTCTGCCGCAGGGCAGGTTTAAAGTCCAGAGTCAAACCCGCTTGCGCACCTTTGAAAAGCGCGGAAACCTACACGGCTGTTGTGGGATGCAGAAGAGACAGAAATTTAATTACGTAGGCATTTTCTTTGGGCGTTGTAAATGACCTTTATGCACATTCAAATCTGGAATCAAATTTGAATTCATTTTAATGCAAATTTCTAACCAGTTGTCCTAAGGCCATTGTTTAATAATGACTACTTCTTCTGATCTCCTTTCGGATGCTGCATTTGACTGGGCTCAGCTCCGGACTCCCCGCATGCACACCGGGCCGGTCGTGCCTTCCTCACGGCCTCCCTGCTCGGAAGGGCAGAGCCCCACGCCTCCTTTGTTTTGTCCAGAACTCTTGAACGTTAAAGTTTAGGTGAGTTTTCCTTTAGAATGTTGACTGGATTTTTGGAAAGTTTCCGTAACGTACAAGGGTTTCTTAGGCCAGGCATTTTGTATTTTGGTTGTAATTAGGAATGTGTTTCTAGCTGTTTATTGCTGTTGGAAAGGAAACTGTTTGCTCACTGGGTGTGGCTGAGGCAAGAATCTACCCGGTCTCACCCAGTTCTGTGTCCCCGGTGTGGACGGGGGCACTTGGCCTAAGTTAGGCGCTTGGTAAATATTTGCCGAGTGAACGAACAAACATTTTTGTGTACGTGGCATTTTTCCCTTTTCCTTCTTTTGGATTACTTCAGATAGATGCCCAGGAATGACGTTGGGTCGAAGGGGACGAGCGTAGTGCGGCTTCTTCCGTGTGCTGAGGTTCCGTGGGTGGAGGTTCCTTCCCACAGGGCTGGAGACCCCAGGGTGCAGAGCTTGGCCCAGGGGGTCGCATGGTGGGAATGTGGGTAGGGGACGGCGCCTGACTCCCGTGATGCTGCTGGGTCGCTGCACCAGCCCCTCCCCCAGGAACACGCCCACCTGCTGGGAGTGGGCCCTGAATGAACTCACTTGTGACCAGATGACCTTATTACAGGACTTTTCTGCGCCCCGGGGAGAGAGTCAGGCTTGGGGGAATGTCCAGGGGAAGGGCAGGGGCTGGGGCCCTTCCCCCAAGTGTGAGCTTCTGGGTTTGGGGCCGGTGGAGGTCTGGGGACCGAGTCTGTGGGAGCAGCTGGGGCACCGTGTGGTTCTTCTCAGCCACTGAGGACTCACGTCCACATCCGGCTGGATGTGGATGGCCTGGTTTTCATTCTCTGACCTGACCTGACATGGCACCTAAATGCAGCAGGTGTCTCAGATCAGGACCATGCCCGCCCAGTGCGAGTCTGTCCCCTGGTCTGCAGCTCGGATGGCTGGGTAGGGACAACCAGAATAGCTTTCTGAGATGTTCTGTGTGGCTCGTGTTGGGACTGGGATTAGCAGTCTTGGGGCAGTGGGAGCAGCTAGACACGAGGGGAGAGTCGGATATCTGAATCGTCAGGCATCTTGGACAGAGTTGAGAGCAGCAGGTCTGACGTCTGCCTTCAGGGAACTCAGGCTAATGAGGGGCACATGAGGCGTGTGCCTCCCTCCGTGGGAAACTGACCTGGGGTACGCGGTGTCATCCTGTTCAGAGGATAGAGAGAACATGCAGGCTCCGGTCAGGGAAACCTCCTCTGGAGGTAACATTTGCATTGGGCTTTGAAGGATGTATAGGAGTTGGGGAGACAGTGTTCAGGGAGACCTAGGATATGGCCCTCAGACGGCAGATACTGGCACCTGGCCTCTTGCTGGACACTTATCTCCCACAGGCACCTGCTGAGCTGAGCCTTGGCTCTGCCCCTTCCAGCATGATTGGAGTGCCCATCTGGCTCTCCAGAATTTGGGATTAGAGCATTGTAAATTGGGGGTAGGGGGCAGATCCTGTCTCCCAGTCCTGCTGCCCATCCATCTGGCTGGCAGGTGCCGGGCAGATACGGTGTGGTGGTGATAGGCTTCAGCTGGGCTGGGGCTCAGTGGAGGGCACTCCTGGTGATGGGCTCATGGAGGTGTTCCGTGATGTCAGATTGCTTGAGGGTCCTACTTGCCCCGTTGGAGAAGGGCAGAGGGGGTATTGAAACTGTGAGCCATCAGCCAGACTAGCCGGACTCGTCGTTGGTCCCTAAATAGCGTTGGCATCTCCACGGTTAAAGAACGGAGAAGTCACCTTGAGTCCTACAGCCCTGTGGGAGGGGAGAAGTGGAGGCTGCCCCACGCCCCAGGAACCTGATGCCCTTGGCCTCCGCTTCGATCCCCAAGGCCGCTTCCCACCCGGTGGCCTTCCCACCAACCTTGGCTCCCAAAATGGACTGCATTTATCATCACAGTCTAGAGTAGGACAGTTGAGACACACACAGTATGAACCATGATATACCTGCTTTAAGCTTTCTTTTTTTTAAGATTTGATTTGTCAGAGAGAGCGCACGAGCACAAGCAGGGGGAGCAGCAGGCCAGAGGGAGAAGCAGGTTCCCCGTTGAGCAGAGAGCCCGATGTGGGGCTCGATCCCAGGACCCTGAGATCATGACCTGAGCCAAAGGCAGATGCTTAACGACTGAGCCACCCAGGCGCCCCCGTGCTTTAAGTTTTCAAGTATAGGTGAGATAATGCGATGCATCCAGAGTATTCCGTCGTGTGGCGCCTGCCGCATTTCCCATGCTCTGTGGCCTCGTGTGTCCAGGGGAGGCTGTGCTGGGCAGATCTGGAGGAACTTTCCATGTTGAACCCAGACTGAACCCGGGGCGACCGAGAGCCTCGTTAGTGATTGTGATCTAATCAGGTTGGGGCGAGGTTGGCTCTCAACTCCGCCCCCCCCTCCGTGCAGAGCTGCCGAGGGAACACACGGAGGCTGGATGGACGTCCACTGATGGGCCGCCTGGTGCGGTGGGTGCCGCCCTGCCTTGCAGTCCCTGTGTGTCTGTCTGTCCAGGGGTCTCGGCTCGGACAGCGTGAGCCCCGGAGCCTTTCACTAGCTGCTCGGGATCGACGTCGACAAGCTTTCAGCGCTTTCCGGATTTTTAAAAAGGGAAGGAACCCCAGTTAATCATTGCCTCGAGGCGGTTTTCTCTGCTGTATTGACCAGATTTCTGTAACATGAATAATAGGTCAGACATTGAAAGCATGTGACTTTAATGTTTGTTTTTGCCTGGGGAATTTAGTGAGAGAGGATCACGAGGTTGCTAACTGTTCCCCGGCCAGATTTCCCGCTTTAAACCGAGGATTCCCGTTCAAGCAGATCTGTCGCGGTGCCCGCCATGCGGGGGCAGTGGGAGAGGTTCTCAACAGGGCCCACTGCCCGGCACCCTTCCCGGCACTTGGTGTTGTCAGTTTTAAAAAGTTTTACCCATCCGACGCGCTCTCTGGTTTCCAGCCTGCCGTGTCCGTTGGTGCCCTCCCAGAGGCTGACAGGTGGAAATACGGTTATTTGATGCGGCGCGGCCGGGACGCCACCCCAGACTGAGCGAGGCGTGAGCTCTCTAGATGGGCGTTGTGCGTGCGCCACGTGCAGGGTCAGCGAGAACATCAGCCGTCCTGAAACCGTCTGCGGACGGTGTTCTGTGGTCCTGGAATTCCAGGTCCCACAGGCAGGAGGATTTCTCACTGGGGCTGAATTCCCGCTGTCCTTGCTGTTTGCTCCGCCCACTTGCATGAGCAGCGGCTGCCCGTCCCGATGGTGAAGTCTTTGACCTGTGCTTCCTACCAGCGCCGTCCACGGGGCAGGGTGCTTCCGCCCGCCCCACGTGTGGCCGTAACGCGCTCTCTGCTTCCGTCTTTGCAGGCCCCTAATCGTCAGCTCATGACCTACTGGCTGCAGGAGCTCCAGCAGAGGCGGTGGGAGTACTGCAGCAGTCTGGACATGGTGAAGTGGGACAGCAGGGCCTCCCCGACCCCGGGGGATTGCTCTAAGGGTCTCGTAGCCAGAGATAACTCAGGTAAGTCACAGGTGGGGGGACCCGCGCCCGATCCTCGTGCACAGCTGTTGGCCACGGCAGGTCAGCTGGATGGATGTTCCGAACCAAAGTAGCGATGATCCCTTTCCAACGGTGGCGTTCCCTACTTTCCGGGGGCTTCCATGTACGGAGTCGTATTCAAGCCTGATGACGACCCCTATGTTGCCTGCCCGTGCCCCCCCTTAAGGTGACGCACCCGCCCCCCCCGCCGATGCGTTCACAGACGTTTGTACGCGCTTTGTTCTCAAAGCCGTGCTCCTGACATCTCCCCAAGGAGACTTTAACGATTCCATTTTATTCTAGGTTTTTGTGGCATTTCAACAACTCTTGCTAATTCCCAGACAGTCTCAGTGTAGAGATAATGGGGCTTTTTGTTTGAATATCGAGACAGTGAAACGCCATGGCGTCCTCATGACGGGTTGTGTTGAGCAGCACTTGCTTGCTGACCATCCGTGCCGGGGCTCCTGCCTTCCTCATGGGAGAGGGCAGGCCACGGAGGCCTGAAGCCAGGCATGACAGGTGCACACGCCAGGGTCCAGCCAGTGACGGCTGGTTCTCTCGCCTACAAAGAGGTGAGGTCTGCACTTCCTGACGCCCGCGGGACCTTCTGCTCCTCAGAGCACAGGCTCCGTCAAGTTCCCTGCAAGCCACAGCTGCCTTGTTCCAGAAGCAGATGCCCACAGAGCCCCACCCTGCAGGCCCCTGCTGCCCTGCCCACCGTGTGCTCGACAGCCACAGCAGGGTCTGCGGCCAGACCCCGCGGTCAGTGACATGGTCACACCTGTCCACACGCACTCCCGTGAGGTCCTCACGTCCCCACACCCTGAGGGCACCAAGAGCCGAGGGGGCACCTCTGTGTTCCGTGCACAGTTCCTCTGGGTGTTTGAAAGCCGCTCTCCTAGGGGTTTTGACCAGAAGCAGCTCCGTGACCCTGCTGGTGCCTCAGGGGTGGGGCTCACACCGTCTGTCCGTTCCTTTACTTTTAAAGTTTCGTGGTTTATAATCTCCATGCCCAACGTGGGGCTCAGCCTCGAGATGGAGGGGTGCACACTCTAGCGACCAAGCCAGCGGGACGCCCTGGTTCCTTTGTTCTGAGGACGGAGTACGTCTGACAGACCCAGGGCGCTAGACCGAAGGGTGTTTGTAACTCAGATTTGTATTAAAAAGAAAGCCTTCCTTGTCTTCTGACCTCGTTGCCCCTCGTTCGGGGCATTCTCATTTTCATCCCTCGCTGTCGTGCAAGCACCCGCAGCCCTGACATCGCGGGAATGGGCAGCTCTGGTGGGCAGGTGGCTGTGCGTCCTGGGAGGAAGCTCCGTCGGCCGAAGCGGCCCCGGGGCCCCGAGCTGAACGTACGTACTGCCACCTGGGACGCCAGCAAGCCTGCCGAGCCCTGCTCCACTGCCCCGGCACGTCTGTCTGTCTGAGCCGCGGTCTGCTCATCAGCGGGATGGAGAGCGTGCCCTGCTCCAGTCTGTGGTCTGGGCGGTGGGATCTAAGGACCGAGAAGTCACAGTCCGTGCTCTCGAGGAGCGGGTGAGGGGCCCAGGCCGGTGCAGGCAGCTGTGAGAGGCGGTCTGAGGAGCGCGGCGCAGCGTGAGCCCGGCCGGCCTCGGGGTGCAGAAGGAGGTCCAGCGGGAGCGAGAGGCCGGAGAGGAAGCTGGATGGATGGTCAGGGGCCAGACCTGGGGGTGCATCACCAGACAAGGGAGAGCAGGGTGAGCGACGGCTGGGACGTGCTGAGTGCTGGGGAACGCACCGGCCAGCGGGATGGGGCTGGAAGCCGTGGTGGCCACAGCTCTGGCAGGGGGGGCGGTGGAAGGAGGTGGGTGGTGGGGCAGGGGCGAGGTGGAAGGGCCGGAGGATTTGGAGGTGGGTCAGGTGGGAGGCAGGGGAGGCCCGGCAGGGGGCTGGACCGCGAACCACCTGTCCACCCCTCGCAGTCCTGTCATGAGGGGCAGATGGGCGACTGCATTACATGTAAAAGTACGTTGAAATTCTGAGTTGGTGAGGATTACATTCAGCTGCAGTCGGCGGGGAACCTGACTCACAGGGATGTGTCTGTCTCGTGAGGCGCTGTTCGCGGTCCGTAGTGGGTCAGCTTTCCCAGTCCGCTGCTGTTGGTGCCACGGGGGTCGGAAAGGAGGCGGCTCTCGCCGGAGCCCTCGGTCTGTGCCTCCTTCGCGGGGGTGCCGTGGCCGTCCCCGAGCCGGGGAGGGAGCGGGAGGCAGGGTTCTGAGCTGAGCGCACGGCCACCGTCCACAGCAGCGTCTGTGAGGAAGGAAGGGCTGCGGGGAGCCCTGGAGCAGCACCGTCACCCGCTGGCCTACGGAACATGCCTTCTCCAGAGTTCACGTCCTCCGCGTAGGAGTCTGTTGTCTCGTGACTGGGATTTGCAGCTTGACATTCGTCAGGCTGCACAGGAGGAATGGCTTGGCTGTGTCTATCTGCTCCGCCTGTCTGCACCCCGCAGCCCGGCCCCCACGGGAGCGCTGTGCCGGACGCACACGGACCCCGCACGTCCCCGCGCCTGCATGGTAAAGACTTAAGTTTCCACACAAAGGAATACTTGGCGAAGACGAAGTGCAGGGTTCAGAGCCCTTCCCAGCTGCGGGGCACGAGGCAGCCAGAGCACAGGAAGCAAGCACAGGAGGCTGACGGCCCCGTTCCAGGAGCTGCACGCAGTTCGTTTTGCTGAGCTCACTTCCCATGTAGGCTGATAAGCAACCAGCTGGGGATGACAACACCTTGTCTTTGAGACTTCCTGCGAGTCGGGGGCCATGGAAGCACTCACGGTCACAGGGGTCTTGAGTGCCCAAGTACCCGTCAGAGCACGGCAGGTGCTTCCTGCAGAAAATGGCAGGACGGTTTGAGGGGAGACCACACACTTCCTTCTCGGGCGGGCGGGCAGGCGGGGCGGCGGCTGCTCCTTTCGGCCCCACGGTCTGTGCAGGGACTGCAGCTGGCAGAGGGAAGGCCCACATGGGGCCGGATGCAGACCCAGCCCGGCAGACTGCGACGGCTCCACGGACTCATTTCGCCTGTCACCTGGTAAGCTGATCAGAGAGGCTGTGCTTCTCTCTGTGACCCCATTTGTAAAGTACTGCAAATGCTACGTGTTGTTCGGAAGCGTACGTCGTGGTGACTCGCGCGTGGTGCCCGAGCGGCAGCCGGTCCCAGTGGGGAGAGCTCACGGGACTTGGGTACACACCGTTCTCCCATGTGTGAACAGGATGTTCTTTGAGGCTCCTTGTGGCCTCATATCAGGCCGGGAAAGTGTGTGAGGATGGCTTCTAGTTGTACGTGGGAGGGGCCTCCTTGGAGCCCGGCTGTGGGC